CACCGAGAAATTTGCATGAAATGTGTAGGCTGGCCCTGCGGTCTGCTTTTTAGGAGATAGTTCTCTCCTTCAAGATGTGCTTGTATGTGAAGGCCCATCTATTCTAAGTCTGCCCAAAGTATAGAGGACCTTAAGAAGGGAAGGTAGCAACCCTGACGTTGTCCCTCATCCACTCGGGGATAGCAGAGGGTGCAGGTGGGCACACCGGTTGCTTGGGCTGGCCTATGGTCCTCCCAACTGTCCTGAGATGAACCATACTGCTGCCTACCAACCAGGGGTTCAAATCCCTGCTCTCTGCTTCCTGGAAGAGAAAGTCAGAAAGTATGTGGGGAATAAGGTGGTCCTGCCTCCAACCTGCGCCACACCTTGTGGCCTCTGCGGCTTCAGGCCATCTCTGCCCTTCCAGAGGACCACCAGAAAGATGGAGCGGGGAAGGGTTTTGCTGTGAGAACCCTGGGAACTGACTTGAGGACACCTAATTACATTGGGCTGGATCTATACATGGGGCCGTGCACCAGATTTGGAAAAATGGCAAAGTGCGAATCAGAGGTGGACTCTTTCGGTGAACCTGCTGAGACATCGGAGCAACTGTTCCTGTTTTCAGGGTTTGAAAAGAAGGAGTACAAACCAACCCATTAACAATGAATGCATTGCTTTTCTGATCAAATGTAAGACAAAATGGTCTTTATTGAACACTTCAAAATAATGCTTTGAAGGAACAGGAACTCACATTTCTTCTGTCCTCTCCAATAGTGGCTTCATCTGATTTGTGTGTTATGTGGGCGCTCACACCTCTTAGGCATGAGAAGGAGCTCTTTGGAACTGATTGTGAATCAAGGGAACATCATCAGTCATAGCCATGAAGGGAACTTGTGCAGAAACAGATATAGAACCAAGAATCCTGAACAAGGGCTGTGCTTCGACTTGACATCATCCCACGGTTTGTAATGAAGCAGCATGGAGATGTTTGGTACCTCGCCTGCAATTCAACAGATCCAGCCACTGCAATGGTGTGTTGGCATCACAAGGACACAACATTCAAGCATTCATATCCCCTGAGGGGTTCAATAAGGAGGTTTTTGTCTTACTTCCCCATTAGACTGTCACACCGTGATACCCATTGTACCCTGCAGCGCAGTAATAAATGGCCTCGTCCTCTGCCAGGGCCCCAGAAATGGTCATGTAGCCAATGCTACCGGAGGAGTCTTTGGAGCCAGAGAAGTGAGAGGGGACCCCAGAGCCCTGACCTTTGCTGGACTCTGAGCTATAATATAACAGGTATCGGGGGACATTCCCAGGCTTCTGCTGGTACCAGGATATGGTTCTGTCATTCCTACTGATGGTACAGGAGAGTTTCGTGGTGTTCCCAAGTGATACTGAGGCCAACGGTGGTTGAGTCACTGTCAGCTGAGAGTTTGCACCTGGAAAGGAAAAAAATGGGAGATATGAGGGAGTCCCTTTTGGAACATCAGCGACACTCACCTTTGCAGGCGTTTTTAGAAGTCGCATGACCTGCTCTCACCTGTGCACCACACGACGAACAGGAGGCTCACAAGGGGAACCCAGAACATCTTGGAAAGGTCTGAGCTCCTGAATGTGACTTTGGTGACAAGAACTCTCCCAACACCGATCCTGCACACCGTGGTCTCCCTTATCTCCGTCCCGGTTGTGGAGGCGAAGCAATTGGGCCCCTCCCTCTTCTTCGCTTTCATCTGATTGGCTGGAGGATCACATGCGTGGCTGAGCATGAAATTTTCCCTTCTGTGCTGCTGGATGAGACATCATTTTGGACACCTTCCTCTTTGGACTTGGCAAAGATCATCCCACACTTCGGAATTCAGTAAAGTTGGGAGGATGATCAATGTGGGCTCATAGCTCTTGGACAAGAAACACAAATTCTAAAGCTCTGCGCTAAAGGTTTGGTTTCTCTCTCTCTCTCTCTCTCTCTGCTTGATGATTTCTCAGTGTAGTTTGCAGAACACATCTTATATATTTCTTTTTCCTAAAAATCAACAGATCATTTGAATAGACTACTGAAGTAAATGAGCAACAGTAGCTGGAAAACAGGCAGGTCTCACACTAGGACCAGCTATAGCAATGTTCTACCTTTATTTTGCTACACTATATTGTAGCTTCTGAAGGCTTCTTACGATGATCAAGATCTCTAGAGATCTCTGGAACCTGGAAGGGTTGACAGGATAGTTTTAATTCTCCTGAAGTGGCCACACTATGGCTGCAACTGATGACATCTCGAAAGCAACAGGATTCTGGCCAGTATCCATCCATCCATCCACCCACCCATCCACCCATCCATCCACCAAGACAAGAAAAGCATACAAGCCTTTCATCCAAACTTCCAAACTCACCCCTTCTAATAACCATGCGGTCTTCTCCTCTTCCTCCTGGCACTACATGGAGGTTATCAGTTGCTATTTCTCATGGTTCACTACCACACTCTAGTGGCTCTTTGATGCAAACACCATCCTCTAGAG